AGAGAGAGAGAGAGAGAGAGAGAGAGAGAAAGTGAGGCCGATACATCCTGCTCCAGTTCTCCATTATAAACAATCAAGCTGGTCTTGAAACTACGGTCACATACGAACGGTCAGGGCCTGAACGGTTGTCAAATGAAGGGAGAACTCAACCCGACACGGGACTCCTGCCAAATGCAAATTTTACGACATTTTCACTGACATGATATCTAATGCTTCTTCTGCTAGACGCCGCACATTCGGAGTTAGGGACCAGGTTGCATGTGGCATAAGTGAACGGGTTCTGTCAGCCACCACTCTCCTCGTCAGCTTCAATCGTCCTTGCTCTGTCTTACGGTCGGAATGCGATGGACGTTGGAAAGGCGATTGGACTACATTCAGCGCAAGTTTGCTTATCTAAAACAAGCTGGTACACAATTTACGGCAGTAGTGAACTCCCTCGTTCGCGACGGTTGGACTATAGAGGCCTCTGGAGGTCAGGCGAACGCTACTGTCAGGTGCGCCAGGAAAATATTTATCTCCGCTTTTTTAAAGCCTCCCTTCCTAGACTACGGTAGCGGCTGTTGTTGGCTGTACGAATTTTGGCCCCTAACCCAGGCCGCTGCCTGCTGCCACGGAACGATATTACATGTTTCAGCTTTATCTGAACGTTAAATTGCATCTGAATCAGCCTTTTGCAGAACTCTGAGCTGCCTGAGCTAGTCGGTGCCCCGCTGGCTCTGCGATCTGATCTGTTGCGCTGTTTGTGACCTGCGAGTTTGTGCAGTGGTTCGACGTCTTTTTCTCTTGACTCATGGGATTTTTGCGTTGGCATCTGTTTATCTGGATATGCATACGAGTTGGCACGGTGGAGGAAGAGGCTGCCAGGGGCTAGAGTTGCTTGGTGTTTGTGTGCGCCGTTGTTGTGCTAGGCCGAAACGAGGCCACAGTGGGTCATGGCATGCTTTTTTTCGATCCGCGTTGAGTCTGCGTGAGGTCGTTGAAGGATGTGACATGCGGTAAACAGAGACTTCACGTCACGCCAGCCACTGAACCCAATTTTATCATCAGTCAACGTGGCGCGGACGGGCCGAGGGAGCGTGGGAGGTAAGAGAGATAGAGAGGGACAGAAAGTGAGGCCGATACATCCTGCTCCAGTTCTCCATTATAAACAATCAAGCTGGTCTCGAAACTACGGTCACATACGAACGGTCAGGGCCTGAACGGTTGTCAAATGAAGGGAGAACTTAACCCGACACGGGACTCCTGCCAAATGCAAATTTTACGGCATTTTCACTGACATGATATCTAATGCTTCTTCTGCTAGACGACGCACATTCGGAGTTAGGGACCAGGTTGCATTTGGCATGAGTGAACGGGTTCTGTCATTCACCACTTTCCTCGTCAGCTTCAATCGGTCGGAATGCGATGGACGTTGAAAAGGCGATTGGACTACATTCAGCGCAAGTTTGCTTATCTAAAACAAGCTGGTACACAATTTACGGCAGTAGTGAACTCCCTCGTTCGCGACGGTTGGACTATAGAGGCCTCTGGAGGTCCTGTAAATGTTGAAAAATTACTATTTTGACAGTCCTAATGGAGATCCATATTCGCGTAATTGTTGTCGCTTGTTACTGAGAAGACGTATGATAAGAGATTCAGGTTAGACAGTCAGATCCGTCGTTCACCGCCAAGCGTTTACCATTTTAATTACTATCGTCATGGATTTTAGGGGGCGCTCACCGATCATTCCTACGGAACTCACTCGTTCCGTTGTGCCTTACGGGCTCTCTCTCTCGAGCCAGTAATCATCATCGTGCCTTAATCCTCCTACTCTTCCTCCTCCCTCTCCTCGTTTCCTTCTTCTTACCGTCTTAATCCTTCGTAATGCCGTCGATCGCACTCTCAGCCTTTTTCCGGTCCCCATCAGCCGCTTATGACGATGACGACGACGACGACGACGACGACGACGACGACGACCACCACCACCACCACCACCACCACCACCACCACCACCACCACCACCGACAAAATGATCCTCTTGTTCTTCCTACTTTTCGTCCTCCTCGTCCAGTGTGCAAAGTAGTCGAACCGGCTGGGCATGCCAAATCGCATAAGTTGATGGCGATTTCAGCCTGTTCTTTCTCTCCGCAGGTGGTGAACCTAAATTTTCTCATGCTCCACGCGGGTAACCGTGCCTATCCTGATTTAGGTCCGAAATATCGATAGTGAATTGCACCTGGAATGCACGCCAGCTTGCG